TGATATTGTCATTGTTATACTGTACCGATACAAGTCCTCCCTCATATTGTCATTGTTATACTGTACCGATTCAAGTCCTCCCTGATATTGTCATTGTTATACTGTACCGATACAAGTCCTCCCTGATATTTTCATTGTTATACTGTACCGATACAAGTCCTCCCTGATATTGTCATTGTTATACTGTACNACAGATACATGTCCTCCCTGATATTTTCATTGTTATACTGTACCGATACAAGTCCTCCCTGATATTTTCATTGTTATTCTGTACCAATACAGGTCCTCCCTGATATTGTCATTGTTATATTGTACCGATACAAATCGTCCCTGATATTGTCATTGTTATACTGTACCGATACAAATCGTCCCCGATATTGTCATTGCTATACTGTACCGATACAAGTTGTTCCTAAAGACATTCCAGACGACTGTATATACTTACCTAGTAACCTGGAATTTGTGAAGGGTTCGGAATTTCAGGATAGCAGTGATACAGTCATTGTAGACCTTTCGGACATCCTTGTTGTTACATCTCATAACTTTCACAATGAGTGTTGAAAATATAAAGACAAAGTTTAAAATATAACCTCAACAAACAATGATAAAAAGAATCATTTCAGTAAACAAAAGAAGACAACAGAAACTTAAAAGAACTCAATACAAAACAAAATTAATTTTGAAACCCTAATGTTACATTTAGGAGATGAATACTGTATTTTTGTGGAAAATTACAGCAAAAAAAATATTCAAACAAAACGAAGCTTAGTAAAGATTCAGCTACGGTATTTTTTGAACATGAGTTTGTTTTAGGGACGTTTGTTTACCTTGAAAAGCAAAGAGTGTAAATGACCTGTGTCTCGACTCTAAACTGCTGAAAACAACTCACTTAGCCTTAGTGGGCCAGTGAAACACCCCCAGCTTTGATGTAATAGATGGTGTGAATTGAAGCAGAGGTACATGTCTGTGTGAGTGGTTTTTTTTCTGCACATGATATCCGTCCCCTGACTACCTGCAGTATAAGAGTGCAATTGAGCTAAATGCCTCTATGATTTTTGAAAGCTGACCTTACTGATTCGGCCCACTGTGGCTTATTGAGTTGTTTTAGTTGTTCTAATAATCAGTTAGACCGATTGATATAAGCATTGCACCCAATTGTATCAATATGTATTTATTATTTATACTTAGCATCGCTTATATAAAACCGAAACAATCAATCGAAGTGAAAATCGAATTGTTATCAAACCATAATTCGAAATCAATATCGATGAACCTATCATGAAATATAAGCAAAGGAATAACAATATTGAGACAAAAAAGTACAAATAATAAGACCAGCTGGAAATATTGGCGTCGTCTGCTTCATGCTTCATGTTAACATAATTATGTCTAAACCAAGGTGATTTACGACTTCTAAGAGAGAACTAGGAGAGTGGTCGAAAACCACAAAGTGCACAACTTTGTGTTATTTTTATTACAGAATATTTATTCATCAGATCTTAGATACAAAGGAATTTGACAACAGGCAAAGCCTATGAGCGCCCTCTCCTTGCAGTTATACACAGTTTACACACATCATATTGAATTGAAGTAAGGATAAATCATGTATATTACATATATTGATATTTGCATGGCATTATTAATTTTTTGAAAATTGTTGCAAATATGGCAATCAAAATCAAAATGATGCTTGTGGACGGCACATAGTAAATTTATGTGCTGGTATCATTCCACACAACAAAGAAATTTTAAAACAGATAAACAAGTAAATGTAATCTAGTAAAAGCGTCTTGTATCTTTAATGAATCTCTGAACCGTCTCCAAAATGCTTATATTCATATTGATATCTAGTCTATGACATCTATAAAGAAAAGTCTGAGTATTTAATGGAATAGCGTCATTAAGTCCAGAAATGGAGTTCAAGAGAATTCGCCTTTGATTAGTATACAGAGTTCAATGGAAGAAGGAGTGAGCACAATCCTAAACAGGAGAACTACATAAGCAGGCATGGGTTTCAATTAGGTGAGATTCAAATAGATCTGAATTCAGGTAACTGGCACAGTTTCTAAGTTGACACAAGGTAATATCAAATTTTCGATCAGCATTGTATTTAAAAATATCAGTACATTGGGGTTGAGAATCCTTTTCATCTGGGTGTAAAAAATCTCTTTTGATAACTCCAATGGATGTCATTGTGGGATACAGGCAAGTTGGATTATTTCATTCAGACATCAGTTTCTGGAACAAACTTGCATTATATAACTGAGTTCTTGGTAAAGGCACATCAAAAGTTCTATTGAGACAAAAGATGATAATTGTCAGTATTATTATTAATGTGCGGTTGAATTAAATCATAGACATGAGAGGGGCATTTCTTATTATATATTTTATAAAAAGTAATATTTTGATGCAGATGTCATCTTCTATTAAGTGTTATAAAACGAGATTATCTATAGAAGATATCATGACTTGTTCCACGTCTTAACCCTGAACTAATACGTGCTGCTTCTAGCTGGATAGACTCCAAGACACAACATTCATTCTGCGTACAGTTTGCCCATATAATACTTGCATATTCCAGGATCGGACCTATGAATGTGATATATTTAGTTTCAAGTGATTTTCTATCAATTTTGTATTTCAACATTCTAAGTATATTAATTCTTTTATAAGCTTTTTCTGATATATAGTTTATGTGGTTAGACCAATTAGCCTTGCTGCAGAAAAACAAACCAAGGTGTTTATTATGATTAGAAACATTAATTGGTGATTCATCAAATTATAGGTGGTTAGGATGCAGTGTCTCAGAGTCAACCCGCCCCGAGAAGAGCAGGGCTACAGTTTTATCTGGATTAAAGATAATTTCCCATTTTCTAGCCCAGATGGAAAATTTAATATATCTAATGTTTTACGCTTGAGGCCAATTCGTCATCAATATCTAATAAAAACAAAAATGGACCAAGAACTGAACCTTGAGGTACCCCTGCCTGTAATGTTTTCCAATTAGACTTGTACCCATCTATGACCACTCTCCGGTGCCTATCATGAAGGTATGATGTGAACTCTAACATATTATTACATATATAATTATTTATTTTTTTAGTTTATAAATTAGACCGTCATGCCAAACTCTGTCAAAGGCTTTGCTTATATCACAGAAAATCATTCTGGCCTCTTTGCCTTTGTCTAAATGCTTTACAATTTCATCGTATACAATTAATAGTTGATACATGTACACTGTAGAATCCTTTGGTAAAAAGCTTGATTGATTCTTAGAAATAACGTTATATCTTGAGAAATAATTGAACATTTACTTAAAAACTTTTTTTTTCAAATATAGGGGTAACAGATATTGGTTTATAGTTGGATGGCTCACTTCTTTCTCCATTACCCTTATAAATTGAGGTAACATGTGCATTTCCCCATCTATTTGGTAGCTTTCCGGTAGAAATAGAACAAGAGATAAAGTGGTTTCACAAGAGATTGGGAAATCCCTTTTATGAATTTGGGAGGGATACTATCAGGGCCTGAAGGTTTATTAGTATTGAGTAGATCAAGCTGATCAACAATGTCCTGTTCGGTTATGTTTATTGTTGAAAAGTGATGTCGGGGTCGGGGGCAGTCGGGAGGTAAACCGTCAGCATTCTTTTCAGTTACGGAAATCGAAGTGAAATAGTCGTTAATAGATTCAGCTTTATCTATGGGGTGGATTTTCAGTTCACCGTTGATAGTCAATGGAGAGTCATTTTCGTTTTTGTTTTTGAGACTCATAACCGATTTTGCAATACGCCACCATTTTCCGGGGGGTATGGATTTATCAATTAAAGAAGATTGAAGTTTAGATAGATATATTTCTTAAGCTTTCCGGACTAAGGAAAAAACTTCATTCCGAATAGATCCAAATTTTGCCCAATAAGCTGGAGTATTATTTAGTTTAGCTTTGGAATGCTGGCGATTTCTTTGTCTAATTTTGAATCTGATACCATTGGCTAATCAAATTTTATCACTAGGTCTTTATGTGGCACAAATAGGTCGATAGCAGTAAGGATTTTATCAGTTAAAAGAGAGTTCATATTTTCAATGTCACCTTGTAATGAAATTTTCCAGTCAATACTTGTTTGCCCCGTCTAAGTCAGTGTTATTGAAGTATAATAAAGTCTTTTTATATGCATGTTTTTTTTTAAAGTTTTAAATTTCAGATCAGTGCTAACTGAACAGTGATCACTACAAGAGGGAGGATGTACTATTGTATTATTAATAAAATTAACTTGTTTGTTAGTATAGTGTCAAGTGATGTTGAGGTCAGGGAAGTAATCCTGGTAGATTCAGTAGCAGTGTTTTCTAACCCATATTTCAATAACAGTCTATGTAGATGTGAGTTTGGATTTAGATGTAACATGTCTTGATTTATATTCTCTACCAGGACCCCTCTCCTTTGCAGATCAACAATATTATTTAGGTTAATATCTAGCCTGTCCCAGTAGCCAACTAGAGAGTTAGGGGGTCTATATGTACAGCCAAAAAGAATAGGTTTATTATTGGTAATTATTTCAGTCCATATTAATTCAAGATCATCTGTCTCAAGGTCACGTCTACATTTAATATTAATATTATGTTTAGTATAAATCAGAACTCCGCCAACATATTTATCTGTATCCTTTCTAAAAATATTTCCAAACGTTTTAAAGATAAAGCACTATCAGTAATTTAATTATCAAGATGAGCTTCAGAGACGCACAGGATATCGTATTCGTAGAACTCAGCATTAGGAATATGAATTTTGTTCCTTAACGAACAGATATTATTATGACAAATATAAATATAATCAAAGTGGATGTTAGAGTTGTGTGGACCGGGGATTGGGTGAATATGGCTAAAAAATATAATATTATAAAAACATAGTGCAAATTCAGAGAGAATTGATTCTGAGAGACGCTAGCTATACATAAACATTTATAAAGTATGGGGTCATTCCCTGCCGTTACAGCACCAGGAAAGTTTGTTATTTTATCCATTGTCGAAAAGGAAACACATATGTAGAAAATACATGTACAACTTTTTATATTCTGAAAACACAATTTGCCTTGGCGAAGTAAACACATTGACAAATGAGAACAAACAATAATATACAAATGACAAACATAAACATTATTTACATAAACCTTTCGGATCCATAAAAATATTGCGATACAAAAATATAATGTAAGAAGTTATATGAATATCGAGTAACCCGCCTCACTGACCCCATACCGTATGCTGATTACACGATAGAGCTGTCGACCTCGCTTGAGAATGGAACCATCCTACATAATATCGCATGCATTTGCATGAATTCATGGGTCAGTGACACGGATCAGACGGTATCCTGAGTGTGCAGCTACCGATCTTTACATTGTACATATTCTGTAACTATTTATTATGATACCTTTTATTAACTAGTTCATATGATAATATGACACCGGAAATTAATAATACACTAGTATGATTAGGCACAATTTATAATAGGCATTGATAATATACTGTCGTTCTTCAGGTTCAATAGACAGCAATTCACGCCCAAAATTTAACGTGGCATTAAAACCTTATTTACATACTCTGCGTGTAAATATAAGGCTGTGAATATAATACTACCTTGCGTCATGTATGACTGTATGGATGACATCAAGGTTCATGTCGCACACATGAAGTTTAAATAGGTTTATGACATCATCATAGCAACCGTAAAACTTACTTCAGTCCTCTTACACCAACAGGATGTTCTCAAACCCCTACATAAGTATTTCTATCAGCATATGATACTGTATATTACAAAAATAGTGATATTCGTCCTGGAATATCGAATAACCTGTTACAGGTTAATACCATACATGGGGAAGCGAGGATGTTACTTTCGATAAAGGGACAGTGTACGATATGAAATCGAAATCATCACGCTAAATGTATAGCAAAGTAGACAGATGTATTTGTTTATAACGTTGTAATCAACATTCGAGGGAAAGTACTGATGTAATCATCATTTCGCGTTTTTTCACAAAAAGAAATAAATTGATAATACAAAAATAGAATGACAATGAATAAATAAAAAGATAAATCACTTTCTCTACATATGTAAATGGTGTTTTTTTTACTAGCGCCTTTTTATCATGTACTTGACAAAAAAGCAACGCTAGTTTTGCAATTAATGTAGAAAATTCATAACTTCGTCGTATTTTCCTGGTAACGTCACAATAGTTTGTCTTACACATGTTACAAATAAACACGTACATAACAGTGTTATTGCGTTTTATAATAGCATGTACGTATGATAGAAGTGTTTTGTTACCGTAATGCCGGATGTTGCTGTCTTTCCATACAGAGGCGCAAAAGTCGCGGTGTTCTTTCAGCATGTAATCCCTCACCTCATCAAGAAATTTCTTTTGTTCTGAGGAAGGAATCAAGATTTTTTCTACATGAAGTTACATTATCTATATGTTAGAATCAGCAATGTGATGGTGAATATCGTTCATAAATCTCGTGTACATGTACTCTCCACAAAAGTCATAGGTTTGCATTTTTGATTTTTGGCATGTAGTCTTCATACTTAGCTATTCATCGATGCGTCTCAAAACCGAATTTGTATTATGTATAAAGAAAATACTTATTCCCGCGTCGCAATACTACATTTTTAAGGAGACTCCACCCTTTCGCAATTAACCAGCAGAATTCAATGAAAGTTCCACATAATGGTTATGTCACTATGCAAAGATGATTTATGACAATCTAAGTATCCCGATAAACTGAAAGTTTGTCAAATTTAACACTTCCTCATTTTTTGAGTGTTTGGCATTGTTCAAAACTATAACAACATAACAATAATGAAAAGTAGCATTGCTAATTAACCCTACAAATATTCCATTTATCATAAAATATTTTAAACACGTTCCACAGTGTTTTTTTATTGAAATTGTATGGATAAAAGTAGTCATATACAATCTAAAAGCAAAGAGAACACATAGTTTCATAAAAAGAAAGCAAAAAATGAACCAAATACACACAAAGCCTTCATATTTCATTTATTTTACATTTTACAATCATTTTGATCCTGATGAGAGTTGTCTACCTTAAACAATATCGGAACTGTTTGCAGAGTGTTAATATTTAAACAATGACAGTTATTTTCTTTACTATACCAAAAACGACAGAAACAAATTAAATTATGATATCAATTGTTTTTCTCCATAAAAGATCGATTGTTTTGGTTCTTTTATGGAACAAAATTACTCTCAATCGCGTTCACTTTGGACATCATCATTCCATTGCCCGCTTACTCCTGGTATATTTACATGTCATGTACATATAACCATAGGCTATCTCATGGTAGCATATTTCTGAAATACGTGTGATAACACATTTCCCAGTTAAGTCTCGATATTGGGTGTTACTATAATTTACACTACGGTAATGGAATGCCCGATACGCAATACGGAAAAGACGACACGAAATTACGACAAGAAAAACATGTGTATTGCGTAGGTTGGGAAGTCCTTAACCAGTGGAAAGGCAGGCTCTATTCCGCAAATCGATATTAACATACGGTACATACCTCCCTCATGGGTGATGCCCAGTGTCTTGTTCACAAATTAACATTGTACATATCTCCCTTATGTGTAATGCCCAACGCCTTATTCACAAACTGTTCATAAACTGCCTCCCTTATGTGTGATGCCCAGTGCCTTGTTTACAAACTAAGATGATACATACCTCCCTTATGTGTGATGCCCAGTACCTTGTACCGTGTTTACAAACTAACATGATACATACCTCCTTTATGTGGAATGACCAGTACATTGTTTAAAAACTAAAATGATACATACCTTCCTCATGTTTGATGTCAAGTACCTTGTTCACAAATTAACATGGCACCTACCTCCCTCATGTGTGATACCCAGTGCTGCGTCCAGTAGCTGTAGAGTTGTACTTTGAGCAGCACTTCCTCCTTTCATCTGAGATGGTAACGCGAAATTTAATGTGTTTTTTTTTATAAATTACATTTTGTAGTAAATGCATAATGCATAAGATAATAGCGTTTGTGTAATATCAGTTGAGTACACATTGAAATCAACGGTACACCATCAAGGACAAAACAAACACCAAGGGCGCCATAACGTGTATTAACTGGTAACCTTAATGTCTAAAGACAACAATGATAAACGAACTCAAAAGATTCGATATCAATATGAGTACTCGTATTCTGGAGATAGTTCAGAACTTTGCTGCTTTGAATGATACCAGCACAGAATTGTACGTTAAGTATGTGCTGTCCACCAGCTCTATTTAGCTGATGTTTATGTAATCTAATTTTTGTATCAACAATTGTCAAAAAAATAATAATGACATGGAATTAGCAATATCTATAACATATATATATATGTTTTATCATTACCTTAATCTGATGTGTGTGAACTGTTTATTACTGTAAGGAGAGGGCGCTCATAGGCTTTGCCTGTTGCCCAATTTCTCTGTATTCAAGATCTGAACAATAAATATTCTGAAATAAACATTGATAAACGAACCGGTGTAGGTTTGTCTTCATATACTCCTTGGTAAATGAGTCCGTCAGGAAGCGGGCCCCGTCCTCCGCCCCACCTAGGGGATACCACAGACTCAATTAAAACGTGTCTAAGGTATCATTTCAAATGCATGTATATTTGTAATATTTATGTAAATATGATTTAAAACGTGTAGCTATATTGACAGTGTTGAAATATGAATAAATAATTGTATCGATATAGACATTATTCAAGTTTGAATATTTTATTTTGTCAATATAAATAGTGCTGAAGAAAAAACTATTTATTGCTTTGATAAAGTCAGATTTAAAGTATATGTATATTAAGTTGTCGGGAATGAACTTATCAATGTGGGAATACAGTCAGAGTTAGAATATTTAATCTTTAATTTTGTCTCGACACAGACAATCCTGAGACGAGAACATATATGCATTAAATTATTCTGAAACGAAACTGCATATGTATTGATCAATCAACTTGAAATGTTTGGGACAACAACTAATCGCTTGCTCCTTCCATTCCGATACTCTACGTTCCACTTTAATTTGTATAGAACGTGGAGTATCGCAGTGGAATTAAATACATGGTTTTAATCATATTGAATATAACTCCATTATTTGATCATTGTTATATAATAAAAAAAAAAGATTGAAAAGTTATAACATGAATGCAGTGCATGCATGTCTATAGATTATAACATGCCTATGTATCCATGAATTTGTATAAACATTTTATATCGGCAAATACTCTGCAGAAGCTGTATCATTTGGTTTATGTGCCTAGCGACTTAAAAAAATCTCAATAGAAAACACATATACGTACCAAGTGCACAAATATATACACAATATATATAAAAAAAATATATATATAATAACCATTTGTTGAAAACCCCTATCCTGTATAAAAATCATATAAACCAACCATTTGTTTAAAATACATAATTACCCTGTATACAAAATACAAACACTTTCCCCGTGTGTAATTCAATACACGTACCCTGTATACAAAATACAAACACTTTCCCCGTGTGTAATTCAATACACGTACCCTGCGTATTACACACATGCACAGATTTACAAAATGTAACATGTGTACAAAAAATGTAAGCACTTACCCAGTGTAAAAAATCCGCAGTTCATCATAGAATTGATTCGGCTTTACTCCCTCTGTAAATTAAATGACGGGTGGTTTCGTTTTGAACAAATCAGTGATAATTTTATTGACTTTAAAGTTTATACAATTTCCTTACATACACAGTGTACAGACGAGATATTTGACGTGTTTTCCGATCAAACACCTAATGTCAGTAAATATCGGTTGGTTTAAAGCGGTTACAAAAACGAGATGCACATGTAATAATTTTATCGGGATTGGTAAAAGGCGAAATATTCACCTCGTTCATTTCATTAAGTCTTCCGTCAGAATGAAAAGGTACAAGATGAATGACGCCAAAAGGCATTAACATAAGAATGAATGCGTGAACCTCTCGTGCTCAAGCTTTCCCGTTCATATTTCCCTTTTACATGTATCTGTTGAAAAATGAGCAAGGACAACACATGGTATTGGTATTATTCTATTTCGGTATAATCATACTTGTATTGTCCATGTGGAAGGGACACACGATTCTTAGTTTCCCATCGATTAGTCTTGTTTCCTTCAGGACTCATCTTCAAAAATTATGATTGATCATGGGTGCCACATGTAAAGCATGAAACTCCTTATAAGGGCGGGTTGAGTGGTGATGAAGTTCCTTTTGATTTGATATCTGCTCTATTGCTATTTTCACATGATAGTATCATGTTTGTTAACGACGTGTTATCATTGTCTAGATGGTTATTTTGATAAAAGAACATAACTAACCTTTGATGTCATTGAAAGTTTTATTCATGTTTTTCATCACATCAGGTATAACTCCCAAGGCCTTGGCCAGCGCTTCGTCATTCTCAGTACCTTCGGTTGAATATCTCATGGCGTCAAGGATAGCCTATAACACACATATATGTATACGATGTAGTATTCACACGTTGACGGAAGCTTACAGTGTACATGTAGAATACAAATACTAGACAAAATATATATAGTATATAGTATCTGTTGATTGAAGCTTACAGGGCAGAAAACAAATACTAAACAACACATACATAGTATATGATATCTGTTGACGGAAGCTTACAGGATAGAAAACAAATACTAGACAGCATATACATAGCATATGGTATCTGTTGACGGAAGTCTACATTGTACAATAGAAACAGAAGCAGATATTCTTCCCGAATGTGCAGAAGTCTAAACCAATACATGTATAGGTCCAATGCGTGATTCACGAATCGGACGTCACCGAGTGCACTATATGGAATATCGTTATCTTATGTGGGTATTCCAAAAGACACGCATTTCTTGCATTCGAAGAAGAGGGATAATGCATACATTAATGTTGATCGTAGCCTAAAGATTCGAATACAATTAGGTTTGTTCGTATGTAATATATCATAAATCAAGAGAAGTGTACATGTCAGAATAGCAGATAAACATGTAAAATAGAAAGCTACATTACTCTTTATGTAAGGTTTGGCTCTGTCGGAGGACCGAGACTGGTTGTAACCCTTTAGACCGAGGTTAGTTGTAACCCTATATACCGAGACTGGTTGTAACCCTTTAGACCGAGGTTAGTTGTAACCCTATAGACCGAGACTGGCTGTAACCCTATATACCGAGGCTAGTTGTGACCCTAAAGACTGCAGCTGGTTGTAACCTTATAAACTTCGTCTGGTTGTAACCCTATAGACCGTGACTAGTTGTAGCCCTGAAGACCGAGGCTGGTTGTAGCCCTATAGACCGAGGCTGGTTGTAACCCTATAGACCGAGGCTGGTTGTAACCCTATAGACCGAAGTTGGTTGTAACCCGACATACCGAGTCTGATTGTAACCCTATAGACCAAAGCTAGTGGTAACCCTCTAGAACGAGGTAGGTTGTTAAACTATATACCGAGACTAGTTGTAACCCTATATACCAAGGCTGGTTGTAACCCTATAGACCGAGGCTGGTTGTAACTATATATACCGAAGCTGGTTATAACCCTATAGACTGTGGCTGGTTGTAACCCTATAGACCGAGACTGGTTGTAACCTCTAGACCGAGGTGGGTTGTAACACTATAGACCGAGACTGGTTGTAACCCTACAGACCGAGGCTGGTTGTAACTATATATACCGAAGCTGGTTATAACCCTATAGACTGTGGCTGGTTGTAACCCTATAGACCGAGACTGGTTGTAACCTCTAGACCGAGGTGGGTTGTAACCCTATAGACCGAATCTGGTTGTAACTATATAGATATAGGCTGGTTGTAACAATATATACTGCGGCTGGTTGTAACCCTTTATACCGAGGCTGGTTGTTACCCTATGTAGTGAGTCTGATTAAAATCCTATATACTGAGGCTGGTTGTAGTCATATAGACCGAAGCTGGTTGTAACCCTGTAGACCGTGACTAGGTGTAACCCTATAGACCGAGGTAGGTGGTAACCCTATAGACCGAAGTTGGTTGTAACCCTATACATTGGGGCTGGTTGTAGTCCTATAGACCGAGGCTGGTTGTAACCCTATAAACCAAGGTTGGTTGTAACCATATATACCGAGGCTGGTTGTAGCCATATAGACCGATGCTGGTTGTAACCCTGTAGACCGTGACTAGGTGTAACCCTATAGACCGAGGTAGGTTGTAACCCTATAGACCGAAGTTGGTTGTAACCCTATATATTGAAGCTGGTTGTAGTCCTATAGACCGAGGCTGGTTGTAACCCTATAAACCAAGGTTGGTTGTAACCATATATACCGAGGCTGGTTGTAGCCATATAGACCGATGCTGGTTGTAACCATTTAGACCGCGACTAGGTGTAACCCTATAGACCGAGGTAGGTGGTAACCCTATAGACCGAAGCTGGTTGTAACCCTATATACTGAAGCTTGTTGTAGCCCTATATACCTAGGCTGGTTGTAACCCTATATAGTGAGCCTGGTTAAAATCCTATATACTGAGGCTGGTTGTAGTCATATAGACCGAAGCTGGTTGTAACCCTGTAGCCCGTGACTAGGTGTAACCCTATATACCGAGGCTGGTTGTAACCCTATATAGTGAGCCTGGTTAAAATCCTATATACTGAAGCTGGTTGTATTCCTATAGACCGATGCTGGTTGTAACCCTATAAACCAAGGTTGGTTGTAACCCTATATACCGAGGTTGGTTGTAACCCTATAAACCAAGGTTGGTTGTAACCCTATGGACCGAGGCTGGTTGTAACCCTATAGACCGAGGCTGGTTGTAACCCTATAGACAGGGTATATTCTGGAACAGTTGGCATGAAATTATAGCTAAGAAATAATTAATCTTTTTAAGCAAATGCGTGTAACATTTAATTCTAATGTTTTCAAAGGTTTTATAGGTACTAAGTTGACTACATATGTTTCGGAAACTTTATATGTAGTTTCCTACTTGGCGATAGAAGTAAGATTATTGAAACAGATACAGAATGGTAAACATTCATGGTAAACATGGCGACAATACATATATGCCAAGCATGACACCTGAAAGATTTTGTTATTAGCTGTTGCAAATATAGTGTAGTATAACGTATATATGAGTAAGAACAATCGTGTTTATTGTCATGTCATTGTCCGTCTAAATATAAATGGTGTATATCATGGGCGAATTAAAAAATGTCTGTCTGTCTGTATGGATTTAATAAACATTTAAACAAGTGTCTTTTTGTTTCTCGTAACACTAGTATTGGTCTGATAAGATATGACAACTGTTAATTCAGAGTAATAATTAAACTATGTACCATATTAGAGTATAATAATATGTTTTAGTTTGCTAGGTTTTGATGTAATGTCTGAAAATAAATTTACAAAATTATACGCATGTACATGTACTCAAATTATTTTCATAAAAATCAAATAAGGATTCACATACTTTTCATAAACAGAAACATTTCCAAATGCTTTTTTATTTAAGTGGAATCAAGAGTGATTTGCATTTAAATTCAAACTTACAATATTATTTGATGAACTAACCCAAATTCCCTATAAATCTGGTGGATTTGAACATATTGTTGTCAAAATATAGCATAAATATGATCGGTTTCATTAGAGTCAAGTTATATTTTGTTACGTTTATGTACAGCAACTGTTGACCAATCAAAACCCGGCACAGTGAATGTTAACTAATTTTCCACGATTTAACTCAAAATCACTCATAGTAATCACCTGCTGATATTTTCACTTATTAGTTATACTTCATAAAAAATCAGATAATATTCATGAACACCTGTCCCACTCCAGAAAAAATAGATAAATCCGCTTAATTGTTCGAACATATAGTAAACTCCCTTGAATTTAGTTTTGAATATAAAGGTATTGAGTCTGGGCCACGTTTGTTAACGCCTAGAAGCTCAGTTGATTAGAATGACAACATAATCTTACTTTTCTTCAGGAAAAGTTCTACCAGGTAAGCTTTTCATTTAAGAACTGATTAAACAAACCTTTATTCATACCGGACAAGATTTCAATACAACAACAAAAAATACCATTGATTTTTTTTAGATCTGTTTTTATTGATACTTGTTTTTGGCAGGGAGCCTGAAGTTGGTTCCTCGTTCCTAGTTCCTAGTTCCGTTTAAGATAAACGGAACTAGGAACCAGATCCTAGTTCCGATTAAGATAAACAGAACTAGGAACCAGCCCCTAGATCCGTTTAAGAAAAACAGAACTAGGAACCAGACCCTAGTTCCGTTTAAGATAAACAGAACTAGGAACCAGACCCTAGTTCCGTTTAAAATAAACAGAACTAGGAACCAGACCTTAGTTCCGTTTAAGGTAAACGGAACTAGGAACTAGGAACTAGGAACTAACTTCAGGCTCCCTTTTTGGCCTGAATAAAGATTTGTTTAATCATTTCTGAAAATAAAGCATGCCTGTTTGTACGTTTCCAGAAAAGTAATAAGATTATGTAAACAGTACAGACACGTGACAATGCAATCTCTTTATACTATTTATCAAGCGGTTTATACATTTTGAATGAGTGGACACTAATTTGTTGCATATCATAAATAAACATAAGTATAAGTCTACCTCAATGGCTGGTGCGAACCTCTGTTCAATGATCACGTGGGTGAGGATGAACCAATCAGCACCAGCACCTCCCGGTGTCTTATACATCGCCTTAAGGTTCCTGGTAAAATAACGATTCCACACTGTATGTATACTACCTCGGTGATAACTGTGGCCAAACTACGAGCATCATAATGTAATTTCCGGATGTTCAATAGAGACAGCGTCAGGATGTGTTGTCAGCCAATGTTGATAGAAGTGTTGATAGTCAGTGTACATCAGAACAGTTTACTACACAAACGTCTATCACACTTCAGTTACCTTATCATTCAAGCGTGTTTCACAAGTCTTACCTCTCTACTTTATTGTACAATGCTGCTTTTATTATCCCGTTTTTAATTTTGTCAGCATTGGCAAGCAGTTGATCGGATATATCAATGATTAAACGCTTGTGAATAATATATTTTGAAATTATAAAGACAAATCATATCCTTATTGCAAAATACATAATTTTCCGTCATCTTTTCCTTCTCCAAAAACCGATTGCAAACCAAGACTTTGTTCATAACAGATTTGTGCAGTATTGGAGGTATTTGTTTTTTTTGAAAATCATTCATCAGAAATGGAGAAAAACGGATTACTTACTCAAAATCAAATGACCTGAAACAAAAAATAGGTATAGCATTAAATGTTAATGCGAAGGAAACAGCTAGTATTTTCAAGTTTAACTTGCGAGTTTCGAAAAGGCATTTATTAATATTGATAGCATAGGTCGTTACAGAAACACAATGTTCATAAATTAAACTTAAGTACTTTACATACCTTGTTGCATCTTTCATCTGCCAGTTGCCTAAAATCATGCTAGGGTAGCTCAAAATAGGCTTCATCCCCAAAGCATCTGACACACGTGTCAGTGGAACTGCCAAACATCTGGGAAGTTTCTGAAATAATAAGCCAAACATTGATTGAAATGTTTAGCAGCAGCATACTTCTATTGTTGATTGGACTTGTTTATTACTATATGGTAAGATTTAGTCAAGCTGTCTTGTGGGTACCTATTGTACCAATGTTAAATGTATGACATTTAGAAACTCTGCGTGTATTCCGGTCTTATTTTAGGGAATGATTAACAAGAGTAAATGTTATAACCTGGAATAATGGTAAAATGTAAACAAAACATTGTTGGGTGTTTTATAAAGATTCCGAAATATAGGAATACGCTTACTCTGCAGCATAATATAGACAGCTAAGGTAGAATACTGTTTCTAGTGCAGTATAGATTACTCAACCAGCACGTGGTACAATGTACATACACTGTACAGTAGCTGTATGGTACGGCATTCTGTACAGATTGAAATTGCAATGCTTTTAGACAAAACTGTTTTGATAAGTTTGTAGTTAAAAAGTATAAAAAAACTGTTTGCACTAAAAACCTAAAAAGGAATACTGGGTTTTTTTTAAATTCTGTATCGACATATCTGTGAGGTTAAAGTTGTGCCAAAACAATAATCCATGAGAAAGTTCTTATAGACGGTATAGCAGATTATTTTAAGTAAATGGAAAGAAACATAAATGAAAGAAAATGTGTTGCTGTGAAACCTGAATCAAAATCTTTTCAAGCATGATTTTACCCCACCCGCCTCAAAGACGTGCGACTGCCATACAAACCTTTGGTACGGGTTCCTCCTCGTCCTGTACAACAGTACAGTAACGATCTACAAACCTTTACGGGTTCCTCCGTCCTGTACAGTTGTACAATTTCTATCTGCAAACCTTTGGTACAGTTTCCTCCCCGTCCTGTACAGTTGTACAATAACTATCTGCAAACATTTGGTACGGTTTCCTCCCCGTCCTGTTCAGTTGTACAATAACTATCTACAAACCTTTGGTACAGTTTCCTCCCCGTACTGTACAGTTGTACAATAACTATTTACAAACCTTTGGTACGGTTTCCTCTCCGTCCTGTACAGTTGTACAATAACTATCTACAAACCTTTGGTACAGTTTCCTCCCCGTCCTGTACAGTTGTACAATAACTATTTACAAACTTTTGGTACGGTTTCCTCTCCGTCTTGTACAAATGTACAATAACTATCTACAAACCTTCGTTACGGTTTCCTCTCCGTCTTGTACAAATGTGCAATAACTATCTACAAACCTTCGGTACGGTTTCCTCTCCGTCTTGTACAAATGTACAATAACTATCTTCAAACCTTCGGTACGGTGTCCTCTCCGTCTTGTACAAATGTACAATAACTATCTACAAACCTTCGGTACGGTTTCCTCCCCGTCCTGCCAAATATATCCAGACGTTAAGAATGTCAATATTTTGTGCAGGACAATCCGTTCCAGTCTGTTTTCTGGTATTTTGTTGTCACCGTGTAACTGTCAATAGATATAGCATATGTTATCATTTTGTTTAATTCTCATTTATATCATACAAGCATTTACAAGACTTACTGATATATCAACATTTTATTGTGTGAACGAATGATTGCATATTCACGAGTCTATCTGCTTCAGTGTTCAGTGCTCATAAACACCAACTTACAAAAACAATAGCAGCTGTTTTAGAAGTGTGACATGTGTTCATGTGTATAATTTGACATTATATTCAAAATATTAATAAAACAATTAACAAAAGAGATTTATTCAAAATTCAAACTGTTTTGGATGCATAACCATTTTTATAGTGAAAAAAATCAACATTAGTCGTATGGGATATTATTCTTTTTGGAAAAAATCAATATTTTATCAAGTCGACTGTTCATCAAATACTAATGAGATGAGCAGGATCATTGTTACTTATTGAGACGAGCAGAGGCATTATTATCTAATGCAAATATGCTGCAAACATGCATCTTTTAACGTTGCAAGGATAGTTGGACATTGGACATCTTTTACAATAAATACATACATTAAATGTATGTGTTTGTACGATAAGGAGTTTATCCCAAATATTCCCTCGTTTGCAGTCTTTTTTTTCTAATATCCAATTCTGTATTCACAGAAGACAGAAATAAGTCAACAGAAATTATATTACCACATTTGCATTCAAGCTAATTTATGATTTTAATAACATGCCTTCTTCTCATTAAGCTAACGCTGATGTTTAATACGTCCCTAAAATATAATTGCAATGTATTTCTTTGTTAAAATATTAATAGAAGAGTGATATTCGAGGTTTCGATGTACCCTGTACATGTGTTCTGGAGCTCCGTCGTTACTTGAGTTTTAGTTGCTAAAACATTTGATGGAAATGTGTTTACCTTCTCAATCTGTTGCCGAATTGTCTTGTTTGCCACATGCTCGGTCAGTTGCGTAGCGATTTTTTCGAATGGATCCCAGCATTCTGGGAGCTGTGTCTGTAATATTAGAGATCAGTTGGTGTGTTACCTCAGTTACATATGACATAGTCATCATAGACAAACTAACAGTAATGTTCGACTTGAGTAAACAACCGATAATACAACCTAACTGTAAAGTTATGCATCAAGCTTTTTATCTCACGTGTAACTGCTATTCTACGTTGACGCGATCATTTCAAGTGATACAGTTAATGTGACATCTTCAATGTTAATGTGTTGTTTGATAAAAGGTAAAGAGTAAACGTACATGCGAACAGTCAATTAGGAACCCGTTCTTCCTTGAAACCAAAAACGCATCTTCAACCTCTTCCACTGTAAGACTGAGCAGGCCACTTTTTACAGCTGAAAATACGATATCATTTTGATAACTAATTAAACGAGTTGTTAGAGATTTCGTAGGTTATTTTCTACCTGTGAAACGGGGTCATCATTTAAATAGTAACAATAAAATCCCATTCTTCTTTCCGTTGTTTTTAGTACGTATTCAGTCACACAAGAACGTAATCAGTGACAAAGCTGTAATCAAACAACACTGCAATAGAAGTTGGGGTTGCATTGTATGACCTTACCAGAGGGTTGTAGGGTGAGTGTATGACCTTACCAGGGAGTTGTAGGGTGAGTGTATGACCTTACCAGAGGGTCGTAGGGTGAGTGTATGACCTAACCAGAGGGTTGTAGGGTGAGTGTATGACCTAACCAGAGGGTTGTATGGTGAGTGTATGACCTTACCAGAGGGTTGTAAGAGGAGTGTATGACCTAACCAGAGGGTTGAAGGGTGAGTGTATGACCTTACCAGAGGGTTGTAGGGTGAGTGTATGACCTTACAAGAGAGTTGTAGGGTGAGTGTATGTCCTTACCAGAGGGTTGTATGATTAGTGTATGACCTTATCAGAGAGTTGTAGGGTGAGTGTATGACCTGACCAGAGGGTGGTAGGGTGAGGTATGACCTAACCAGAGGGTTGTAGGGGGAGTGTATGACCTTACCAGAGCGTTGTAGGGTGAGCGTATGACCTTACCAGAGGGTTTTATGGTGAGTGTATGACATTACCAGAGAGTTGTAGGGTGAGTGTATGTCCTTACCAGAGGGTTGTAGGGTGAGTCTATGACCTTACAAGAGAGTTGTAGGGTGAGTGTATGTCCTTACCAGAGGGTTGTAGGGTGAGTGTATGACCTTACCAGAGAGTTGTAGGGTGAGTGTATTACATTACCAGAGGTTTGTAGGGTGAGTGTATTACCTTACCAGAGGGTTGTAGGGTGAGTGTATGACCTTACCAGAGAGTTGTAGGGTGAGTGTATGACCTTACCAGAGGGTTGTAGGGTGAGTGTATGACCTTACCAGAGGGTCGTAGGGTGAGTGTATTTTTAATTTTTTCATTTCAAAATATTTTATTAAATCAAATGGGAATTGGGCAACAGGCTATGCCTATACAAGCCCTCTCCCTTGGGTTACATGCATTTAAACAATAACATAATTATAATTTAGACATAAACATATTAGCACTGGCTTGGAACATTAAATAGCACTTAATACTTAATAATTAATAGTCTCTATCAATCTCTGAACTAAGCAAAATTAAAAATTAAAAAATTAGGGTGAGTGTATGGTCTTACAGTTTCCTCCCCGTCCTGTACAGTTGTACAATAACTATCTACAAACCTTTGGTACGGTTTCCTCCCCGTCCTGTACAGTTGTACAATATCTGACCTTACCAGAAGGGTGTCGGGTGAGTGTATGGTCTTACTAGAGGGGTGTATGACCTAACCAGAAGAGTGTCGGATGAGTGTATGACCTTACCAGAGGGATGCCGGGTGAGTGTATGACCTTACAAGAGGAGTGTATGGTGATTATATGACCTAACCAGAGGGGTGTCGCGTAAATGTATGGCCTTACCAGAGGGTGTAGGGTGAGTGTTTTGCCTTACCAAAGGGGTGTTGGGTGACTGTCCGACCTTACCAGAGGGGTGTCGGGAGGGTTTGGCATTACATAATTACAAGAGGGGTGGCGAGAGGGATATGGCCCTAACAAAGGGTTGTAGGATGAAGGTTTGAACTCATCAGAGATTTATTGTGAGGAGTATTGCCTCACCAGAGGGTTGTAGGTTTGGGTGTAGCCTTACCATAAGGGTGTAGAGAGGGGGATATGACCTTACCTGAGAGTTTGTAGGGGGACCTTACCAAATGGCTGCCGAGATAAATATGAGCTTGACAGAGGGTTGTAGGATGGGACGTGGCCTTAAAAAGGTGTCGAGTGAGGGTGTTGCCTCACAGAGGGTTGTAGAGTGATGGTAACACCGTACCAGAGAAATGACGGGAGGGTTATAACCTTATCAGAGGATGTAGAGAGAGGTATGCCCTTACAAAAGAGATGTAGGGTGATGGTATCGCTTAGCAAGAGGGATGTAGGATGAGGATAATGCCTGACAAGAGGGTTGTAGGTTGAGGGTATGGCATGACAAGAGGGTTGGAGGTTGAGGGTATGGCATGACAAGAGGGGTGTAGGTTGAGGGTATGGCATGACAAGAGGGGTGTAGGTTGAGGGTATGGCATGACAAGAGGGTTGTAGGTTGTTGGTATGGCATGACAAGAGGGTTGTAGGTTGAGGATATGGCATGACAAGAGCGTTGTAGGTTGAGGGTATGGCATGACAAGAGCGTTGTAGGTTGAGGATATGGCATGACAAGGGCGTTGTAGGTTGAGGGTATGGCATGACAAGAGCGTTGTAGGTTGAGGGTATGGCATGACAAGAGCGGTGTAGGTTGAGGGTATGGCATGACAAGAGGGTTGTAGGTTGATGGTATGGCATGACAAGGGGGTTGTAGGTTGAGGGTATGGGATGACAAGAGGGTTGTAGGTTGAGGGTATGGCATGACAAGAGGGTTGTAGGTTGAGGGTATTGCTTGACAAGGGGGTTGTAGGTTGAGGGTACATGTATGGCCTTACCATGTGGGTGTATAGAGACGTAAGACCTTACATGAAGGTGTAGAGATGGATATTACTTTACCCGAGGGTGTAGGATATGGCCATACCAGAAGGATATTGGGTTAAGTTACCCTCTGGGAGAGTGAGATAATCATGTAATCTGTATGATATAGTGTTAAATCTTGTTAAGAAGCCGATGCTACTCAATGTGAGTTTTTAATATATACATGTAAATTATAGTCAAACCTTATTTTCTTATCAGTAACAATTATAAAACAATATTTATGTTTGCTCCATTGCTCCGGGGTAACACGTGACCAGAATGACACGTCACAACCGGGTGTTCTTTGATGCCGGTTGTGATAGCGCGTGTGACGTCATGTTGATGCAGGAGTTCTCACGTTGTATGCACCACATGTTGTACACTTGATCGTGTCTTCTGCGAATCTATCAACATACGTCAGTCACACCCAATGATTGACAGCAGTGAGCATTAATTGTATCAAGATAGACATTGATATACCATACTAGGACATCAGATGATTAACGCGGTCACACACGTAAGGCTGTGGCCGGAAATCCCACCTAGGCAAGGTAGCAGAAACATGCTCAACAGTTGTGCATGCATGGATTACTGTAATGCCCACTGAAGAAGAACGAAAAGGAAAAGGAAAAAAAGCATCGTGTTGGTTGTGTAATTATGAATGAAACAGTGTAATGCTATCACCAGTAATGCCGTACCAAGTTGACAAAAGAAGTGCTTGTTATGTCGTTGACTACGTTACGTATTGTCTTATGGAGTTGAAAATGCACGTGTACGTACAAAAAATATTTGTACTATTCTGAAAATCACTACATTTCTATTTCAGAAAAGGCTACGCTTACAAATGTACGAACCTTTATTTCTAAAGCCTTTCAAGTAGGATTTTATAGGGTTTTATGTTTGTGCTAAGTGTAATTCAATTTGAGAATAAAAAAATATTGTTTTATTTTTCTATTTGGAAAATATTATGCTATATTTAATTAATGTTCTAAGCAAAAATGTGTGATGAGCAGGTTTTATGAATAAATATATGATAATAAAGATATAAAAATGAAATTATACGCCTTATTTTTAGACAAAATTGATAGACTCGTTGAGGAGACAAAAACATTAAATTTCATAAACGATTCATATATATAATGTAGGTTAACACTTGCCAACTTAATAACCTTTCTGCACATTCCATAAATTGATTTCCATTAATATCAAGATGGGTTAGGCCGCGATTATTCCCGACCTGTTTTGATAATTAAGCATAGTGAGTCAACGTCCGTAAAATGCTTACAAACAGAGCGAATTCAAACACAAACAAAAGGTTCTACGGTGTCCTTATTAAACTAACCAGACTCTAAACGAACTGCTCCTTTGATTGAGGTAGGTAGATGGGAAATAGAGTTTCAATTAAGGTTCCCATTTATTGTTATGCACAGTTTGTACTATTAGGTCAACCCGTATCGTAGAATACAGGTTAAACAGTTTATAAATGCTTTATTTATTCCTCTCATACAAACCTGTCAGACTGAGTTTCTGTACCAGTGTATTGCTTTATAAGGGATGTGAACAACAATTTGAAGAGAAAATTAATTCTGAATTGTTGAATGCTGGTGTACAAATTGTGTACACATGTTTTGTCTGATCAACAAGTACCCAACAGTAAACCCAGATCTAGAGACTTTGGCAAATAACGAAAGAATGTAATCATCTTATCTATAATATTAATTTACTTAAGCATGAACATCATATGCAATAATGTAATTTTTCATCATACACGTATAAATAATTTTATCTGGTGAGAAATATCAATATCATATGTTTTACTAATGAAATACATCACAAACTAATAAATTACCAAAACAGGGTGCTTGAAATGGGCGTGTCCTTGATAGTGATCTATAAGAGGAACTAGGGGTAACAAAAACAACGCATGCCTATCAAACATTTTATAATGTCACTTTACAAGTTCTGTCTACAAAACATAATTTGTTTTTAAACTACAATTGTGTGTCATGCCTGAATATATTTGAACTACAGTGCTACGGTCAACCTTAGGGACTGATAGCCCACAATACAAAATCACAATAGAATATTTATATATTTGGTTAATTATGTCATTCCCTTTGTTAAACCTGATAGTATATCGGTTATCGGATTTTGTTATTGGCCCAGACAACCCTGAACATTTTTATTTTAATATTTCAAAGCGAGAAACAAGCATAGCCAAAACTCACGATCGACTCCCTGTGTCACTTAAGTGTGTCTTATTGATAGCTATAGGCGTACGGCGAAGTAAGTGCTCTCGAGCAGACAATAACCCTGCGCCGTATCTATATATACATATGTACACATGTAAGTACATCCTTACGTGGAGTGTATATGGCAT